CAAGAAAATCTTCTGCGAGGCATATATGCTTATGGTATGTACTGGAAGATTAACCTCTTTAATATTCAGTAGTTTTGTTTTTGCCAGAGTAACTGAAATTAGCTGTAGTTTCATTAAAAATTCATAAAGGTTTATTGTTTTGTGATTATATTGGTAATGGTTAAAAATTGGGGATGGTTTATATTTTGAGGAAATAGTATATGCAGTGAAGGGTCTTTACATCATCATCCAATCACACTGCCTTTTATTATAAGTAATAGTGTAATACTAATAGTAATTTATGATTGGTTGATATTTGTAAGATTCTTTACACAGGCAGTGCATAGAAATTATACTCTTTTGTATTTTAAATGTACCCGTGTTTCAAAACTATTTACTTATTGTAATCAATACATTTTTGAAATTTTAATTTTGAAATTGGTCAGATATTTTGTAAGGGTATTAATGTTTTACTTCTAAAAGTATAAATGTTACTATTGCTTCGTTTTATCTCAATTTAATGTGTGATGTTTTATTCTTGTTCTAAAGGTTTTGAGAGGCCTTCTGCTATCCAGCAAAGGGGAATTGTTCCTTTCTGCAAAGGTCTGGATGTGATTCAACAGGCTCAGTCTGGAACAGGGAAGACAGCAACATTCTGTTCTGGAATTTTACAGCAGCTTGATTATGGATTGGTTCAGTGCCAGGCTTTGGTTTTGGCACCAACAAGGGAGCTAGCACAGCAGATTGAGAAGGTTATGCGAGCTCTTGGTGATTACCTCGGTGTTAAGGTTCATGCATGTGTTGGTGGAACAAGTGTTCGTGAGGATCAGCGCATTCTTCAAGCTGGTGTTCACACTGTTGTTGGCACTCCTGGGCGTGTGTTTGACATGCTGCGGAGGCAGTCTCTTCGCCCAGATTGCATAAGGATGTTTGTTTTGGATGAGGCAGATGAAATGCTTTCACGTGGTTTCAAGGACCAGGTTTGTTGTTTTGATTAGTTTCTACATTTTCATAGAGTGCACCAATTTATCCTTGGTTGTCTTGTACTTGTTGACTATCCTAATTCCATTGTTGGTAAATATCCTTGGCAGTTTGAAGCCTTTTGTTAACATGAACTTCTCTATGAGTCTCCAATATGGTATCATGCATTTATTACATCCAGTCTACTTTAGTTTGCATGCATGACATAGATAGGAGAGGGGGTTATAAGAAAAAAATACAATATTATTTTGCCGCACCAGATACAAGAATTTTCCCCTATTGAATCCAAGAGCACAACTTCTTTGAGAAATGTACAAGTTTATGTTCTTCCCATGCATGACATTGTGATATTTTGATTGTTGTTGCAGATCTATGACATCTTCCAGCTTCTGCCTAGCAAAATTCAGGTTGGAGTGTTCTCTGCTACAATGCCACCAGAGGCCCTTGAGATTACAAGGAAGTTCATGAATAAGCCAGTGAGAATCCTGGTAAAGCGCGATGAACTGACCCTGGAGGGTATCAAGCAGTTTTATGTCAATGTTGAGAAGGAAGAGTGGAAGCTAGAGACATTATGTGACCTTTACGAAACTCTGGCTATCACCCAGAGTGTCATTTTTGTGAATACCAGGCGCAAGGTGGACTGGCTCACTGACAAGATGCGAAGCAATGACCACACCGTCTCTGCCACCCATGGTGACATGGACCAAAACACGCGTGATATCATCATGCGTGAGTTCCGGTCTGGCTCTTCTCGAGTTCTCATTACCACAGATCTTCTGGCCCGTGGTATAGATGTGCAGCAAGTGTCTCTGGTCATAAACTACGATCTGCCAACCCAACCTGAAAACTATCTCCACCGCATAGGTCGTAGTGGCCGATTTGGTAGAAAAGGAGTTGCTATAAACTTTGTGACATTGGATGATGCCAGAATGCTGTCTGATATTCAGAAGTTCTACAATGTCACTGTAGAGGAGCTGCCATCAAATGTAGCTGATCTGCTCTGATGACTTAAGTTTTGTTCTCTGTTAAGTCATCAAGGCGTTTTTTCTGTTTGGCAAGTGATATCTTGTGCTTTTTTCTCTCTTTATATTTTACCCATTAGAGATCAAAGACATCTGATCTGATGCTATTTGTATTGGATTCTATAAATTTTGTTTAATCAATTATTTAGCAGGCTGTTGTTCAAGCCTGCATTTACTTTCTTCTCTTATCTGTGTATTTCTTCTGTATAACTATTTCCATTGTGATTCACAATCATGTGAACACGCCCTGCAGTCACGAGTCTTTATTTAGAACAGAGAAGGTTTATATCAGATTTCAGTTAACTATATGTTAAAAGAAAATCATTCACCACATTTTTATTAATATGGTAAAATTTTCCACAGGTTCAATTTTTTAAAATTTCATTTAATGTTTGATTTTCAGACATTATAAACCCAGTAATGTGCAAAATATTAATATCAACCTGATTCACGGTAAAGGAATTTTAATTGTTCTTAATTCAGCAATCATGTCAATTTTGTATAGGGGATACATATGTCCTTTAAATTTATGTGAACCAAACTATCCTATTGGCAAGTTCGATCACTGTTTTTTATGTTACAAGTACTGTAATCTTTCATTATCTATTATCGTCAGTAAATGTCTACATTAATGTTTCTTCTCATCGTGTATTGTATTAATCAAAATTAATGAATTTGAAGTTACAAAAATATTTTTCGGGAATTCAAAATCAGATCCCTTAATTTATCCATTTTTTATTCCTTTTAACAGTAAATAATCTAAAATTACTAAATGCATCATACAGGTTAACCTTAAGAGGTTGGAACTAGGAAGTTACTCTTTTCTGATGTTGACCAATTTCACCCTAAAATTTCAGTTGCTAATGATAAAGAATTTTTTTTTTTCAGAGGCTATAATATGTAAAAATTCTTCCATTGCTAAACCATTGAAGTAAGGCTAAAGAAAAAACAGCATGCCGAATATCTTATGAATTAGTTCTTAAAGTGGGGCGGTTGCAATTAGTTTGAAGAGGATTGCTTCAATAGTAGGTACTGACACAGATAATACTAATAACGAACATTGCTGTGCACTTTCGACCAAAGCGTGAAAACGTTGTACACAATTCTAAAAGCAATTCAAGAAAAAGGTTACTTCTGGTATTGAAATCAGTCTCTTGTCAAAACATTTGGTGCAACCAATGAAAGATCAGAAATCTATTAGTTTCGTGTACGAATTTCCTTTGGTTGATACAATAATTTCATTTTGGCCCGTAGCTATACTAATAAATCATATTTCAAGTCATTTTTCTTAATTTTATTTAAAAGGCATTTCAAAACATTTTCCATGCCTTGGCATTCTCACCTCCCAGATTGCTGTTGCTGATGCCAAAGACACGAAGATGTGGTGGTCCATTTTAGGGTACTATTTAAGATGTGAAGTGTGGACCCCAACTAACTAAAAATCAGTGTGTTTTGTTTTTTTTATGAACAAAGATTGGTCTTAGAGTTTTGTTAAAAATATAACTGAAATGCGGGGATGATAAATAAACTCGTATTCTTGGATAATATCTGAATTCATTCTAACTTTGACTAGAAATACCTGATTTGGCCGGATACGGATACGGGTAAAATCCAAAATATCAAATCGGGGACGGGGACAAGTATATACTTACCCGCTTAATTCCTGTCCCCATCCCCGATTTAATACCTATTCCCGATTTGATTGTTTTAAAGAATTTTAATATTTAATTATGTGAAACATTTGTGATTTTTTAATTATTAAAAAATTTCTTGATTAAAATATGAGATACACAAACAATCCAATTATAATTGTAATATAACGAAAAGATAAGCTAAAAATAGTATTTTTTGACAAAAAAAATTATTAATTTTTGACGGGTATATGCATACTTGATACTCGACGGAAATATGAATGAGACGAAAATTATATACTCGACGGGTACAAAAACGGGTATAGAATGAATTTGAATTGGAAGTACGAAAACGGATATTATGAAACCCATACCCGACTTGTCCTGTTGCCATGCCTATATGCTCCTCTACCACACCTCTATAATATATACACGTACGCACTTGAATGTCATATCTCTTTATTACCTATGTTTTCTATTCACTAGTAATATTGCATAACATCAAATTCAAATGTGAAAATTTGATCTTAAGTTATTCAATAGTTGCACGATACTGTAGCTAGAATTGTTTGTTGAAAATAGGATCCATCTGCATTTAAGAGCACAAGTAATCTATTGAAATAGTAAAGTCCAATTCTTCATCTAACTTTGAAATTAATATTTTTGAAGAAATATTAGTAACCCCAAGAATTATAAGAAGTTTGTGTGTTTTTGCAAGTTTAGCTAAGAGGGTGGTGCATTAATTTGTACTTTGTCAAAAGAGCATTACTCCTTCCCTGCCACCAGCTACCTCCATGCCATAACCAATTTGTGTAAAAGTTGGTCAAACCCAAATACTCCCATGCAGTTCTGCCATGTTAAGCAAAGTTGAATAATCCTTCGCTGCCCCCACTCACTCCATTAATGTAAGCGACAAAACAAAGAATATCATTATCATCTTCAACTGTCACCTATTTCAGAAATTATTATATGGTCCTATGTGATCTGATATTTTTTTCAACATGTTAATAACTTTTTATAAATAAAAAAATTAATGGTCATTATTAGCCTAAAGTAATTTTACAATGTGAACAATAAAAAATTACTGTCCAAATCTTTCCCTTATCGTAAAATCAACAAATTAATTACACATAATGATTTATAATTAAATGACAATATTCTATACTGTGAATACATAACTTATTTTTATAATAAAAAGTCATCGTCAGAGTCTCTCTTATTTTAAAAATTAATAAATTTATCACACATAATAATTTATAATTAAATAATGATATTTTATGCAACATAACATATTTTTCCTTTAAAAAAAATATCATCACATTTTGACATAATTTGATGTATATATAATTGTCCTCTTAGTGGATGAAAGATTTGATTATAAGAAGTTAGGAAAGAGAAGTAATAAATAACACCAACAAAATACAAGAAGAAAAAGCAAACCGACCAACCAACCTACCATCTCTTTTAGTTTCATTCTTCTCTCCTTAAAACTACATCCTTAGTTATTCACTCTTGGGGAGTGTGGCTGCCATCATGGAATTCAGATCCAAATCATGCAGGGGTGAGATTCTGCAGATTGAAAGCTACAATGGAGGAAGGGTGGCACCAACAAGCATGCAAGATCTGAGGTCCTACAGTGCAAATTATGCTGCTTCATCTGCTTATCCATACAAGATAGGTAAGGAAGTGAAGTTGGAAAAAGGAAAAGGCACAGTTAGCAGCAAAGCATCAAAAAGTTGGAGCTTCAATGACCCTGAGTTGCAGAGGAAGAAGAGAGTAGCTGGCTATAAAATATATGCTGTGGAAGGGAAAATGAAAGGATCACTGAGGAAGAGTTTGAGGTGGATTAAGAACACATACACACAAGCTGTCCATGGATGGTGGTGATTAATCGGTATATAGTTGTATACCATATAGTATATAGTGATGCTATGTTTTTTTACCCTTTTGTTTTGTGTTGTGATTTACTTATTTTCATATGGATTCTAAATCTATTTTAATCAAATTCACCTTCCTTAGCTAAGTGAAATTTAGTGTTTGGTCTAAATTTTTTTAACATGTTATTAGTTCTCTGTCCGGTAGTTTTGAAGGTATCATCTCTTAATCTGGAGTTACTTGAAAGAAGGAGTCCTTCCCGAGGATAAGAACGAAGCTCGGAAAATAAGGATGAGATCGGCCAAGTTCATCATCATTGGGGATGAGTTATTCAAGTGTGGTATTTCCTCTCCACTACTCAAATGCCTGACGGCGCCCCAGGCAGCCTATGTCATCAGGGAAATTCACCAGGGGATATGCGGCATGCACTCTGGCGCGCGCTCAATGGCAACCAGAGTACTCCGAGCTGGGTACTACTAGCCCACTCTGAAGTCGGATTGCCAAAGCCACATCCAAAAATGCAAAGAATGCCAGCAGTTCGGCAACGCACATTGACAACCGCCCGAAACTCTCCACCGCATGATGTCGGCATGGCCTTTTTCCCAATGGGGAATGGACATCCTCGGGCCATTCCACCCCGCGAAGGGACAACTAAAGTTCCTCCTGGTAGCAATCGACTACTTCACCAAATGGATCGAAGCATGCCCACTCGCCAAAATCACCACCGAGAACGTGCGAAAGTTCACCTGGAAAAATATCATTTGCAGGTTCGAAATTCCGTACGCCCTCGTCATCGACAATGGTAGGCAGTTCATCGCACAGGAATTCGAGGACTTCCTCCACGAACTCGGAATCAAACACCTTGCGACCTCAGTGGAACACCCCCAGACCAACGGCCAGGCCGAAGCTACCAACAAAGTCATCCTCCGGGAACTCAAAAAGCGACTAGGAAATGCCAAAGGGCAGTGGCCCGAGGAACTCCCCAGCATCCTCTAGGCGTATCATTGCACCCCTCAGTCAACCACGCAAGAGACGCCCTACAGGCTGACCTACGGAGCTGACGCAATGATCATGGTAGAAGTCGGCGAAACCTCCCACAGACGCCAAATCTTCAACGACGAACAGAATGCCCAAGAACTAGCGGCCGACCTCGATCTATGGACGAGCTCAGAGACGAAGCCCAAATCCACGAAGAGGCTTGCAAGCTCCAAGCATCCCGAAGATATAACACCCGAGTAAAACCTCGATCTTTCCGAGCGGGCGACTTGGTGTGGCGGTTGTTAGGCGAAGCATGGAAGGACACGTCAGATGGGAAGCTCGCACCCACCTAGGGTGGCCCGTTCCGAGTTACAGAAGACTTGGAGAACGGAGCCTACCGACTAGAGGAGCTCAGCGAAAAACCTATACCGCGAACTTGGAATGCTACGCATCTCAAGTTTTATTTTAGTTGAAACCTATACGAATGAGTTGTGCACTCTTTTCTCGCCTCAGTCTTTAGTCCCAAAAAATAGAAAGATGGGTTTTGGCTGAGAGGGTTTTTAACGAGGCACATTTACACAATCAATGAAAGAACTCATTCCGTTCTACTTATATCTCTCTAACTTCACATTATTTTATGTTTTACTCAAACTTGGGGTCGAATACGAACCCTAACACGTCTATCCATGGTCGAGTACGAACCCTAACGAAAAACCCGAGGTCGAATCCGAACCTCGACATGAGTAAGGTCAAGTTTGAACCCTCACGAAACTTTAAGGCCAAGTTTGAACCTTCACGCAAATTTA